ATGATTCCCAGTATTGTATGATTGTGTAACCTGATGTGATTTCCCTATGTGTTGTAAACTCTACCACTATGATGAGGTTCTATGTGATCTCCTTATGTGTTATAAACTCTATCACTATGATGAGGTTATACTGATGACATCTACAAGATTGGATAGTGTCTTAAGACAATCTCTTTTGAGATATAAAAGAGAGAAGCGAGCAGAGTCACATGGGAACCTCATACCACCAAGAAAGCAGTGCCGGGAGCAGAGCATGTCTTTTGGACCAGAGGTTACTGCGCTGAGATGCTCCCAGACCAAAGGAAAACTGATGCACCACAAGGACCTTCCTCCAGAGCCGACAGAGAGAGAAAGCCTTCTCCTGGAGCTGATGCCCTGAATTTGGACTTGTAACCTACTGGACTGTGAGAAAATAAACTTCCCTTTGTTAAAGCCATCCACTTGTGGTATTTCTGTTATAGCAGCACTAGATGACTAAGACATAGACATAGAGAAATTTATATCAAGGAAATGGCTCAAGTGGTTGTAGAGGCTGGGAAGTTCCAATTCTGTGGGTCAGGCTGCAGGGGTTGGCGAACCCAAGATCCAGACCTTGGAGACTGACAAATCCCAAGATCAGCAGGCAAGCTGCTAGCTCAGGTCCCAAGAACCTGAGGTCAGATGAACAGGAGCCAGCTGCAGGATCCAGAATGGGCAAAAGCTCGCGAGCCTTGCTAGAAAGTCCACCTATATTAGATACAGGCCACGCTCACAAGGAAACTCCCTTTCAACTGATTAGCTATTCACGGCAGATCCCATCATGGAGGTGATCACATTATAACACAACTGCCAAACTATATCATAACTACCAAGCCACTGAGAATCATGGCCCAGCCAAGCTGACACACAACCTTGATGATCACAACAGATAATGGCTGTAAGTACCTTCTCTTTATATTAGGCAAAACCATGAAGAGCAGAAATAATATTCAAACCTGAGTTTTGAGAGCATTTCTGCACCAGGCCTGTATTTCCTCTGCTGCTACTTCCTGGCATTGAGCTCCTGCCTCACCAGTAAAAAGGTTTTGCTTCATCTAGGATGGAACGCATGGGGTCGCCATGAGTCGGAATTGACTTGACAACAATTGCTTTGGTTTGTTTGGTTTAGGATTCGCCCACCCACCAAAAAAACAAAAACCTCACTGTCATTGACTTGATTCAGACTCCTAGCGACCCTATAGGACAGAGTAGAACTGCCCCATAGGGTTTCCAAGGCTGTAAATCTTTATGGAAGCAGACTGCCGTGTCTTTCTTTAGGATAGGACACATCAGTATAACAAATGAAACTCCAGGTGTAGTAGCCCAAGTAGAAACTAATGCTCCTGGGAGCCAAAACCTTTGCCCCTGTCCTACTGCATGGAGGGAGAGGACAAATATTATCCCTTGCCCTCATAGCTTAGGCTAAGTACGTACATGCACATTGGGTGACAGTTTTCATTAATGAAGCAAGAATTTCACTATTTATAGTAACTTGAATCTTGCTAGTCAGAGAAGTAGCATAATGGAATGAAAGTCATTTCTTATTTGAAGTCAGCAGATCTGGATCTTTTTGAGCCTCAGTTTGCCAGTCTATGAGATTGGGATAATATGATTTCTACTTTATAGGATTACCTTGAGAATGAGATAGAAGTCTCTGGATGGCAGAAACGGTTAACAAGTTTGGTTACTATACAAAACGTTGGAGTTTCAAGTCAACCCAGAGGTGCTTCACAAGAAAGCCCTGGCGATCTACTTCTGAAAAATCAGCCGTTGAAAACTCTATGGTGCACAGCTCTTCTCTGACACACATGGGGTTGCCTTGAATCAGGGTCGACTTGACAGCAAACGGTATTTTTTGAGAATGAGATTGTTGTTAGGTGCCATGGAGTCAGTTCCAATTTATAGAGATCCTGTGTACAACAGAACCAAACACTGTTGGGTCCAGCGCCATCCTCACAATCATTGCTACTTTTGAGCCCCTCACTGCAGCTACTGTGTCAATCCATCTCAATGAGAGTCTTCCTCTTTTTTGTTCACCCTCCTGATAATATGTCCAAAGTACGGGAGATGAAGTCTCACCATTCTCGCTTCTAAGGAGAATTCTGGCTGTACTTCTTCCAAGACAGATTTGTTCGTTCTTCTGGCAGTCCATGTTGTGTTGTTGTTAGGTGCCGTTGAGTCACTTCTGACTCATAGCGGTCCTATGTAAAACAGGACAAAACACTGCCAGGTCCTGTGCCATCCTCACAATCTTTGTTATGCTTGAGCCCATTGTTGCAGCCACTGTGTCAATCTATCTCACTGAGAGTCTTCCTCTTTTTCACTGACCCTCTACTTTACCAAGCATGATGTCCTTTTCCAGGGACTGATCCCTCCTAATAACATGTCCAAAGTATGTGAGATGTAGTCTCGTCATCCTTGCTTCTGAGGAACACTCTGGCTGTATTTCTTCCCAGACATATTTTTCATTCTTTTGGCAGTCCATGATATATTCAATATTCTTCACCAACACTGTAATTCAAAGGCATCAATTCTTCTTGGGTCGTCCTTGTTCATTGCCCAGCTTTTGCATGTAGATGAGGCGTTTGAAAACACCATGGCGTGGGTCAGGCACATCTTAGTCCTTAAAGTGACATCTTTGCATTTTAACACTTTAGAGAGGTCTTTTGCACTAGATTTGCCCAATGAAATGCGTCCTTTGATTTCTTGACTGCTGCTTTGGTGGGTGTTGATTATGGATCCAAGGAAAGTGAAATCGTTGACAACTTCAGTCTTCTCTCCATTTGTCATGATGTTGCTTATTGGTCCAGTTGTGAGGATTTTTTTTTTTTATGTTGAGGCATAGTCCATACTGAAGGCTGTAGTCTTTGATCTTCATCAGTAAGTGCTTTAAGTCCTCTTCACTTTCAGCAAGCAACGTTGTGTCATCGGCATATCACAGGGTGTTAATGAGTCTTCCTCCAATCCTGATGTCACGTTCATCTTCATATAGTCCAGCTTCTCAGACTATTTGCTCAGCATACAGATTGAATAAGTATGGTGGAAGGATACAACCTTGATGCATACCTTTCCTGATTTTAAATCACCCGGTATCTCCTTGTTCTGTTTGAACGGCTGCCTCTTGATCTATGTACAGGTTGTTTATGAGCACGAGAATACTGGAATTCCTATGAGATTAAATAAGTGAAAAGCACTTTGTTGAAAATAAACTTTAGTTTTTGTTTTGAAAAACATTGGCAGGGTAAATATTTTAGGAAACCCAACATTTTGCAAAAAAATACAGTTGAAACTGTATTTCCCCTGAAAATCCTGTTTCAAAAAGATTTCATCTCCCAAGTTCAAAGTACATTGTTTTAAAAGCAATATGATAGATCAATTAACAATTAATACAGCGAGGAGGGTTTATTTCTAGATAATCAGATACCCCTGACTTTGTAGCTCCTAACAAGGCTGGGACAGAGTAAATCTTACATGAATCCTTAGTAATTTGTTGTTTGTCAATAAATTATACACAGTGCTCGGTATGCTGACTTATTCTTGGAAATACTTACAGTAGAGTGTGAAGAATCCATTCCCATTTTCTTTTCAGCATAACAAAATTTTGTGAAAAGTGACTCTGTTTTATAGAACACTTTTCCTAGCTTTTGACAAGCACAATTATTATTGGGAAATCTCAGCTCTATTCCAGTATCGTTCTGAAAACTGATGTTAATTAGTTCTGACCTTGAGTTGAACTTGTTACACTCTGATGAATCCCAGGTAGTATTCTTAACTAAACATGACAGAAAATTAACTTCAGCACAAAGGAAACGTACACCTATTGATACGCGAGGTTCCAAAGACCAGGTCATTATGCAAAATACTTTCAATTTCCTACCCCAGCCTCCCCTCCTCCCCAGCCCCATTCCTCCTAGCTGGGCAGCTGGTGGCCCCTCTATACTTGAGGTGGTCATGGACTCTCCCTCATTCCTCTTGCCGGAATCTGAATCCATACTCTTGGCTACTGGCCAAGTTCCTCAGCCTCCCGGCATCCCAGATCAGGCTCTGGGGTGCAAAAAGTTAAGCGCTCAGCTGCTAAAGGTTGGAGGTTTGAGACCATCTAGAGACACCTCAGAAGAAAGGCCTGGCAATCTCTTCTGAAAAATCAGTCATTGAAAACCCTATGGAGCACAGCTCTACTCTGACACACATGTAGTCACCATGAGTCAGAGTCAACTCGGCAACTACGTTTTGTTGTTGTTGTCGTTGTTGTTGTTGTTGTTTCTGGAATCACGTGAGGCAGGAAATGGTGCCCTGCAGGGACATTAGGGTATGAAAACCAGAAGAAGGACAAATGGATATTGGGTCATAAAAGCAACACAGATATTCATTGGGGTCAGGTAGAGTTGAATTGCCAAAGACTCATTAAAGATCATTCATCAAAAAGGCATTCAAAATTCTGCATACCTTTCCTATGTAAGAACTAGCCAAGAATTTCCTGTGAGTTACAACAGTCAAACATTTTATTCTTTATTCCAAGGGTCCCTATATTTCCTACATATCACTTCACCCTTCTACCATCCCCTAAAGTCCTTAAATCATTTTGTAGGTAGCACAGTCCATGTATTTTAATAGACCAGAAAGGCTGGGGCAGCTTCAACACTGAATCCCATCCTAGCCAGCCATAGCTACCACCTACTTGTATAGGGATATTCTCAGCATGGCTGCTTAGTCCCAGTAAAGGTTGGTTACCTGTTAATCCAAAAGTAAAGATGGAAAGATTGGCAGAGGCCACTTGAGCTGGGTAATTGGGGAAGTTCAAATTAGTCCTGAGGGAATAGCTAACATTCCAGTAGGCCCCATGAGGGAATCAACAAGCTGCTATCAAAATGTGGTCTTTCTGGCCAGTCAGCCCCCATTCATTAGCATAAATTCTCAGGTGTGGTCTGGAAACTCCTTTAATAGCAAAGACACTTCATTCACCTGGAAAAGTCCAAGGTTTTAGAGGTTATCTCTCAGGAACCAGGGACAAAGACCAACTTCTTTGGGTAACGTTAATGGAAACCCCACAATAGTCATCTCTCCTAGAATTGCTCTGATTATATTCAATCAACGATTATTAAATGATATTCATGTAAGAAAAAGATACTCTATTTTAAGAAACAGAATATGCATGTCTATGTGTATGTAGAAGGAGCTCTGATGGCACAGTGATTAAGCCCTCGGCTGCTAACAGAAAGGTCTGTGGTTTGAACCCACCAGCCGCTCCTCGGGTGAAAGATGTGGCAGTCTGCTTCCATAAAGATTACGTCCTTACATAACATAGTTTATAAAGAAAATGTTCTACATTCTACTTTGGTGAGTAGCGTCTGAGGTCTTAAAAGCTTGTGAGCGGCCATCTAAGATACTCCACTGGTCTCACCCCATCTGTAGCAAGGGAGAATGAAGAAAACCAAAGACACAAGGGAAAGATTAGTCCAAATGATTAATGGACTACAGCTACCACAGCCTCCACCAGACTAATTCCAGCACAACTAGATGGTGCCCGGCTACCACCACTGACTGCTCTGCCAGGGATCACAATACAGGGTCCTGGACAGAGCTGGAGAAAAATGTACAACAAAATTCTAACTCACAAAAAAAAAAAAGGCCAGACTTAATGGCCTAACAGACTGGAGAAACCCTGAGAGTATGGCCCCCGGACACCCTTTAAACTCAGTAATGAAGTCACTCCTGAGATTCACCCTTCAGCCAAAGATTAGACAGGCCCATAAAACAAAATGAGATTAAGTGGGCACACCAGCCCAGGGGCAAGGACTAGAAGGCAGGAGCGGGCAGGAAAGCTGGTAATAGGGAACCCAAGGTGGAGAAGGGAGAGTGTTGACATGTCGTGGGGTTGGCAACCAATGTCACAAAACAATATGTGTATTAATTGTTTAATGAGAACCAAGTTTGTTCTGTAAACCTTTATCTAGAATACAATTTAAAAAAAAAAAAAAAGTGTGGGGCAGGGAGATTACAGCCTTAGAAATCCTTAGAAACTCACTCTGCCCTATAGGGTGGGTATGAGTCGGAATCGACTCGAAAGCAGCGGGTGGTGGATGTGTGTGTATTTCTTGGCATGTACGCACACACACACACCTTCAGGAATGAGGATTCCAAAATGGCAAGTTAACTAGTATTAGACCCAATTAACTTCAACCATGGATAAGCATGATTTAAATAATCTTTTTTATAAAGTGAACATTTAGGCATAAAATATTTCCCCAAAGCATTTCAAATTGCACTTTGAGATAAATTAACTCAGCTCTCCTGCCCATTAACTCTTGTTTTGATTCAAAGAATTTTCTCTTAAAAATTAAATGAGCGTATTATTCCTCTTATACAAAATGGAAATCCTGATGCCAAGGCACGCTTGTGATTTGCTAGTAATCTGTACACAAGCAAGGGAAAGTGTTTTTATTGTTATTTTAGTGAACGACAATAATGAGTAGTGAAAATGAGTGGTGGAGAAAAGCAATGTGGTTGTAATTCTAGAACTGAGCAGAATTACTAGGTCTATCTGGGACCCCATCCAATGATCTGGGCTTCTTCATCATAGCTTTCCCCACATGCTGATCTTTCAGAGATAGTTCACTTCCATCTGATTTCTTAAATTTCATGTTTGCCACTTCTTCAGATGAGCAATACAATTATAAAATCTGAATGTCGTTGATAGAATGCTTGCTACACATCTGAAGTACTGGCAGAGGTTTTACTAAAACCAAGACAGAAAAAAATGTTGATCAGAGACCCTGGAACTCAATTTAATCAAAAGAGGAAAACAAAAACATCTGATATGACTGTTCAATTTTCCCCTAAGTCAAAATTTCTCCTAGGTACCCTTGTGTTCCCAAACATCATTTAAAATTTTTTCAAGGAGTTCATCAATATAAGCCCAGAAGATATTTCAAATATTTTAAAGGTCCCTACTGCTTCTAAAAGAGCTTGGTGGAAGGAGAAAGGTCAGAAGCAACAGTGTTTTATTTCCTCTGTCAACAAATGCCTTCTTTGCTCTCCACTTCTAGTGTCCTTGGCTGCCAGATATTTGCTTGGTCCAGTGTGCAAGAGGGAACAGACCAAATAGTACCAACAGCATCATCTTTGAAATCAACAAATTTTTGATCGGCCTGGAACTGGTGCAGGAGCGGCAGCTCCACGTGGAAACAAGCACCTTGAAACTGGAGGATGACACTAACTGTTCCTTGTCCTCAATTGAGGAAGACTTTCTCACCGCATCGGAGCACTTAGAGGAGGAAAGTGAAGTGGAAGAATATCGGAACGGTGAGAACTTTCCAATAAAACTGACGTGCATCCTGAAATTAGTCATTGTATAAAAATGTCTGGGTGAAGCTTCAGAAAAGTTTCTGGCAGGCCGCGTCAGTTTGGCTGACACATCACATTCTCCACCTTCTAAGTCTAGGCAGGGGAGGAGAAGGGTAAGAGAAGGGAGTGAAAGATGCTGACTAATGCCCATAATAGTCTTAATGGTTGGATGGCTCCAGACTCCCCGAAGATGCTTTAGGGATGCTGAAGGAAATCTGTGTGCTTTAAAGGGAAATCCTCCTGCCTGACAAGAGATGGGGAATATCACTGGGGGAGAAAGTTAACTTCCCTAAGACATCCCTAAAAACCTCGTACTGGTTTGGAGCCTGAATTTGAATCCTAGCTCTCCCACTTTGAGCCTATGTAACCTGGGGTCAAGTATCTAATCTTTCTGAGCCCTGTTTCTTTATATGTAGTTTGGAGTTTAATAATGTCTAGAACAAATGATTCTTGTAAGGGCAGAAGGAGATAACCCAAGAAAGTGCTTAAAAAAAAAAAGTTGCCATAGAGTGGATTCCTACTGACGGTGACCCCATGTGTATCAGGGTAGAACTGGGCTCCCTGAGGTTTTCAAAGGCTCATGTTTTTGGAAGTAGATCACCTGGCCTTTCTTCCAAGGTGCCTCTGGGTAGACTCCAACCTCCAACCTTTGGGTTAGCGGCCAAGCACATTAACCGTTTACACCACCCAGGGACTCCAGAAAGTGCTTACCAAAACCAAAAACCAAACCCGTTGCTGTTGAGTAAACTCTGACTCGCAGCGACCCTATAAGACAGAGTAGAACTGCCCCGTGGGTTTCCAAGGAGTGGCTGGTGGATTCGAACTGCCACCTTTTGGTTAGCAGCTGAGCTCTTAACCACTGCGCCACCAGGGCTCCCCATAAAGGCTTAGCACTCATTTATCCAGCTCTTTCTGCTGACTCAAATACAGCTCAATGAACAATGGGTTCCTCTTACCCACTCTCAGCCAGAGAAGAAGGGACACCTCAGCTGTTGTTGCTACTGTCCTTGGGGCAAGTCCTATGCAAACTTGAGAGCAAATCTCTTCAACAGACCAGTTACTGAGGTGGTTTTAAACATCCTCCCTCCCCTATCTGTCGCCACTGGGAACTTCTAAGATGCAGTTATTTTGCATTGATTTCCGCTTGAAGAATGGCTGCCAGTTCTTAGCTTGCAAACATTCTCTTCTCTCACTCTAGCCCTTATATTTATGTCCCACATTAGAAGCCATTTGGTTAGGTGGCATTTCCATAATGAAAATTCAAACATTTCCCGAGATTCAATTTTCTTGAAGAAACATTCAATATGCCATATTTGGGGGAAAGGGGGCAGAAAGAAAGAAGGAAAGAAGAGAGAGCTGATGCCTTAAGACATCTTTAAAAATGGATCATTATTTTAGATCCATGGCAACTTGCTACCCAAAAACTAACAGTGGTCTTCATTTTCTCCTTACTAGGTTTTGAAAATATAAATGTCTCAGCCAGTGTTTTGGAAAGTAAAAAGCCAAAGGAAGCCACCCAGGAGGAATGGAATTACAACAAGGAAAAATTGCTTTATGCTTTGGAAGACAAATATACTAACAAATATCATACACCGTTGGTTAAAACAGAAGGATATCTAGAAAAAGTAGCAGAAGAAACAGACTTGAGGAGCCAGGATCCCTCAGCCAAGACATCACGGTGGAAAGGTGAAGCTGTAGGGAGTTTGAGACCAGCCACCAATTCCTATTGTTCAGAGAATGTTAAAGGTCAAGTAGAAAAATCGCAGGCATGCTATACTCCAGGAGATGCTTATTCCACCAGGTTGGTTAAGAAAGATGTGCCTTCTGCATGTGTCACCATCACTGAGCATGGCAGCAACTTAGAGCCAGGAACCCCTGGAGGCAGAAGAAAATCTCTTCCTCCCATCCAAGATGGAGAAGCCACAACCAGCGAGTACGCTACGAATTTAGCAGAATCTGTGCTGCACGAGGCATTTAGTAGGTTATCTCATTCTCAGCCTGCACTACCCCAGGAATCTGCAGTCAGTATTTCTGTAGGAAGTGCCATGCTTCCCAGTGGCTGTTCCACAACAGACACAGTCCCTCAGTCATGGAATGAGCTCCCCCAAATCATCATAGTGCAGAGTCCAGATGGCAGTGATGCTGCCACTGAGCCAGAAATCTGCTCGTGGCCCGAGTCAGGAGTCTCCACTGAAACCCCAAGCGTCCACCCTGGAGCGAACTCAAGCAGACACCCCCAGAGTGCCCTAGAAGTAGTGTTAGCTTGTGCAGCCACTGTAATTGGAACCATTTCCAGCCCGCAGGCCACAGAAAGACTCAAAAAGGAACAGGAATCCCTGTTATCAGGCAGTCCACTGGGAGGCAACGAAGCACTGCGAACTCAAGCCTCCCAAGAACTGAAAGAACCTTCTCTCGGTGAATATTCCTTTCCCTCTGCTTTGTGTGGCATGACTCAGGTAGCAAGTGCTGTTGCTGTCTGTGGCCTGGGTGAAACACAAGAGGTGAAGTGCCCTGTGGCAACAGGTGGCCTCTTGTCTACAGCTCAGGCTTCTGCAGCCATTCCCCCACTTGGTAGTTTAACGATGGAGCAAAGCATGGAGATGGGGAACGAGGCCATTGCGGAGGCTCTGCTCAAGGAGGCCATGCTGGTTTTAATGAGGCCAAACACCTACAGCAGCGTCAAAGACCTCATGGAATCAATGAACGGGAGAATCATAGAAACCGCTTCAAGGCCTCAGACCCTATGCTCAGAAAATGTCCTCAGGAATGAACTGGCACAGAATCTGTCCAATGTTATCCTGAAGCATTCCTTTGATGAAGTTCACCAGAAAAATAAAATAACTGAACCCAACGATGTTAAGCATCCATCTGATACTCTGGACACCTTAATGGAAAGTACAAATCAACTGCTCTTCAATGTGATCTACTACACGTTCAAGAAGATGAGCCGTCTTGTGCAGCTCGGTGAAGGTGCTACTGGCCTTTCTAAGGAGACCATCAGATGGAGGGAAACAGAAATAGGCTACCAGCTAACCGATCAGGCTGCTAGTCAAGCGTGGCCAAAAACCACTGAATATACCAGCAGCCATTCAACTAGCAATCCACTCAACACTAGTCTTGCCATTAAAGAAGTTGTAGATGACATGTATCCAAAACCAGATAACAAGGGCAGAACGAGGCCAGGCCTCTTCAAGAATCCCACCCTGCAACCTGAATTGTCATATAGTCACAGTATGCACGATTCCTCAACAGCTAAAACACCCCCCAAGGAAATACACCTGAAAGGAACCATGGGCGATATTACAAAAATCCATCAACCAATGGCCAGTGTCAATGAGAATGAATGCAGAGGCTCTCCAGAGGGAGAAAGAGCACTTATGGCCAATAAACACAGAAAGGGATCCCAGGATGCTGAGGACAGTATGAACCCAAACACCCAAGAAAAATGCAGTAGTGACATGCCTCTCAACAAGGAAGTTCAAGTCAACCTGTCTTTGTTAGGGAATGACTTGCTGCTTCCCACTCAGCCCATGCTACAAGCAAAACATGCAGACATATGCTGCATTACAGACTTTGCGGAAGAATTAGCAGAGACGGTTGTCTCCATGGCAACTGAAATCGCAGCGATTTGCCTTGACAACTCCAATGGAAAACAACCCTGGTTTTGTGCGTGGAAAAGAGGGAACGAGTTTCTGGTTACACCAAACTTATCCTGCCGAACCTTGAAGAGGAAGAAGGAGAGCCAGACCAGCGGGACCACAGTCAGAAAACACAAGCCACCACGGCTCAGCGAGATCAAGAGGAAAACGGATGAGCACCCTGAGCTGAAAGAGAAATTGATGAACAGGGTTGTGGATGAATCTATGAACCTCGAGGATGTCCCAGATTCTGTCAATATCTTTGCAAATGAGGTGGCAGCCAAGATCATGAACTTAACGGAGTTCTCCATGGTGGACGGCGTCTGGCAAGCCCAGAGCTATCCTCGGAATCGGTTACTTGGCGACCGGTGGAACAGGCTGAAGGCCTCCAGTTGTGAAAGCATTCCAGAGGAGGACGCTGACAGCAGGGCCTATGTAAATAGCCTGGGTTTAATGAGTACCTTAAGTCAGCCGGTGAGCAGGGCCAGCTCTGTCTCCAAACAGTCCAGCTGTGAAAGCATCACCGACGAGTTCTCCAGGTTCATGGTGAACCAGATGGAAAATGAAGGGAGAGGCTTTGAGCTACTGCTGGACTACTATGCCGGCAAGAACGCCAGCAGCATTCTGACCTCAGCTATGCAACAGGCGTGCTGGAAAAATGACCATCTGAGTGTGAGGCCAAGCTGCCCCTCCAAGCAGTCCAGCACAGAGAGTATAACCGAGGAGTTCTATAGGTACATGCTGAAGGACATTGAAAGGGAAAGCAAAGACAACCCATCATCCAGAAGCAGCAGCCAGGATTGGACTGCTAGCCTACTGCCTCCCCCTCTGAGATCCCCATTTTGTTATAGACAGTCGTCCATACCAGATAGCCGATTGCCATGCACCAGGTTAACAGTGAATGCACCTGTCAAAGCCAACTCCTTAGATAGCTTTGCACAAAACAGCCAGCAAGATTTCCTGAGTGTGCAGCCGGTTAGCAGTGCTTCTTCCTCAGGTCTCTGTAAATCTGACTCTTGCTTATATCGAAGAGGTGGGACTGACCAGATCACAAACATGTTAATTCACGAAACATGGGCAAACTCCATTGAGGCCCTCATGCGAAAGAACAAAATCATAGTGGACGATGGTGAGGCAGTTGATGCTGAGCCTGTTTCCGTTGGCTCTCCCATGCAAGGGGAGAAGTGTGCAAATGGATTAGCTTCCAGCAGAGTGCAAAGTGGGCCAACTCTGCTTGTTCAGGAGTCTGTTGACTGCCCGAGGAAAGACTCGCTTACTGAAAGCAAACATTCCTCAGAGTCATCTCAAAGCAAAGCTGCTTCTCTTACGAACCACAAGAGCATAGATTCTAAAAAAGAAACTTCCATATGCCATGATGCTATCCCTCCAAACCACACCAGGCGATCACCATGCTCAAGGGAAGTGCCTTTAATTCAGATTGAAACAGATCAAAGAGAAGAAGGTGTTGGAGAACTTGAAGACTTCCTTTTCAAAAGCAGCCCCCATGAGGAAGCAGAAGAACATTCCAATGAAGAAAATACCCCAGACGTGGCAAGGGGCAGAGACATGGAGGGGAGCACCTGCCCAAACCATAGGTGAGTGGATCATCTCTTCTACTAAATAGGAACCATGGGACCTGAGTTTGTATCTTAGCTAGGGTTTATTCTGTATCTTAAACATAAAGGGACTTTATTGATGCAAGAACTGAATTCCTGAGACAACAAATGACTTCCCTGGGTTAATATGCATTTGTAAAAGAAAGTTGGAAGTGATTTTTTTTTTAAGTGTTTTTCATTTTTGTCTGTTCTAAAGATCTTTTCAAGGACACCGTGTTCTGCAAGTTCTGGCCCTTTAGATGCATGACTTAATCATGGCAGTATAATTGCAAAGGAACACTGTGGTATTGTTATTTCAATAGTTCTTTTGCAGAGTATTGTAATGTAGGAGACTCAGCTCATTAAATTTCTCCTTGTGTCACCTAGACCACATTCCTTAATCTCCGTTTACCGCCTTTTACTCTTCTGCAGGTAGGAATAATAGTACTTACATCATAAGAGGATTTTTAAGGTTTAAATAAAGAAAGGTACATAAAGCTCTTAATTTAGTGCCTAGCCCATTGTAAGAACTCAATAAATGTTTGCTTTGTTGTTGTTGTTGTTGTTGTTTCACGTTAGGGTATATGGTTGCCTTTACTCCAGGAGCTTTTGTCCCAAGAGAAACCTGTTACGAATAGCTTGGGAATTATATTAAATCAAGAGAACCCCCAGCGTGTGTAGGAGGAAAAATTAGTCAGATTTAGATTACATTTTCTAAACTCAGAGTCATTATTATGGGAATTGATGTGTCAAAATAGCTAAATACAAAATTGATTCCCTGGGAAACAGCTACTGCCCACTCAAGATGGAAGCAAGATGAAAACAAGTAACATTGGCACTCTTAATTCTCCTTGGGGATGGGGAAATATCAGGTCTTGAAGACATTTTTAGGCTGCTCTCTGAGGATAAGTATGAGGGACATTTCCATAACTCTTACTAAAAATTCCGTAAAGACTTAACATATTGAAATAAGAATCATTTTTCTTACTTTTCTTTATTTGATAAAGAGAGTAACAGCTTCAGGATCCATTATGGAAGTCACACCGAAATAGAAACACCTGTTGTCTTTTAGGCTACCACATCTTTCAAGGTACCTGAGTTATCCCCACTTGTAGGGAGTTTAAATGATTGAGGGTAGGTCTGTTCCTGATTCTGGGAAAAATTTATCCTATTGGTGGGCAGCAATGAGGCCTTAACTCAGCCCTCCGTCTCTGAGATAACTAAAGAGCAATGCTTCTCCTAACTTCTTGCTACTTTGAGACCATGAGGCATGAACAAAGAACTGGGAGTTCTAAGCATACACGTTGCACTTGCTGATATAATCTGATTTTTTAGAAATATATTTTATGGTGTGTACATATTTCCTCATTTATATTTGCTTCAAGAAAAAGTTACTCATACAACAAAGATGTGAGTGCTTATTCTGTGATATGCACTGTGATTGGGGCTGCAAACACAGGAGAAAATGGAGAGACTCATTATACACATGGCTCTTACATGCTAGCGGGGGAGACAAAGAACATGGGAAACTCCTTTGGAAAATGATTATTGCAGACTGTGATGAGAAAGAAATAAAAAGAATAACATGATAGAAAATAACTAGCTGGGGGAAATGGCTGCTTTAGATAGGATTTTGGTATTTGAGATGAAACCCAAAGGAAGAGAAGGTGCCAACCATGTGAAGAATTGAAGGGAAAGGCTTGCCTTCCAAGCATTATGGTGTTCTAGCTAGGCTGAAGAATCCTCCCACTGGAAGTCACCCAGACATCTTGAACTAAATATAAACATTCTTTTAAATATAGGACTGAGCTTACTACTAAACCAGTTACCGTTGAGTCAGTTCTGGCTCACGGAGACCCTATGTGTGTCAGAGTAGAACTGCACTCCATAGGGTTTTTAGTGGTTGGTTTTCCAGAAGTAGAACACCAGGCCTTTTTTTGAAGATGCTTCTGAGTGGACTTGAACCTCTAACCTTTCAGTTAACAACTGAGCGCATTAACCCTTTTACCACCCAGGGTAATAATTAATAATGTTGATATTAGAGGCCAAAAACAAAAGGAGCTAGAAATAAAAGTGGCAATTGACATTGACTCTGTGACTATTCTTGCAGCGTTTACCAGTCTCAGTAACTTACAAGCTCGTTTTTTAAACACCAGTGGAAACCAGGAATTGAAGTGGTGGGTCCATGAATTTTGAAGACTTGGAACTGAGACAAACCTCCACATCTGGAAAGGTTACATCCTCAGTAAAAGTGTGAATTAAAGGGAAAAGTTCACCTTTCGGTGTTAGGGCTCTAGGTAAAAGGAAAAAAGTCTCCCTAGGAATTTATAACAGCAGCTTGCCCTGGTGCATGCCTGGTATTATAATTTGCACCATTTCTGTGGTCCAGGAAACCTCAATCTAGTAAATTACCTTGATGCAATCTTAGGTTATTAACACTTTGAGAGCCTGGAAGAAGCAAAAGAAAATTTTCTGTAGAGATGTAAAGGATTCCCACAAATAAGGTGCCATCAAATATGAGTGCAGAACCTCAAATTACAGGACACACAAGGAATCAAGGCACTGTAAGCTATACTCAGCATAAACCTCAAATAACAGAATTAGTCCTACTATTTTCAGAGGTTGGAAATATCACATATAAACTAATGATATTTTAAATATATGGAGAAAACAAGGTACCTAAAACATGAGCAAGAAACAAACCACATTCAAAATAGGATGAGGTAGATTTTTAAAAATCCATCAATCAGTACAAGAGATGAAGAGCATAATCATTGAAATTAAATACATATACAGTCATTAAAATTAAAACCTCAACCTGAAGCGAGGACTATAGTAAAAGGTAAAAGGGAAGAGACTTCTGCTTCCAGCCATGATGGAATTACTGAAATAGGACTTGTTCTCCCTCTGTATGCAACCAGAAAACAAGGACAAATCCTCGTGAAACAACTGTTTTCAAACACTGGACAACAAGCAGTGCATTGAAAGAAGGAAAACAAATAAGATGAGCCTTACAATTGTCCTTTCTGCCTGGATTCCCTTTTCAGACAACAGTGCAAGGCAGGCAAGACTAAGCAGAGTTCACTAGAACCTCTGAGTTGAAGAAGCAGAAATTGGAGGGAGCTAAGCAAACAAAGAGCTCAGAAACCTGTAGAGGAATCCCCTCAAGTCTATTGCTGAACACTGAGCCATACATGCATAGGTAAAGCTCCATGAACCTAGGAACCTGTAAGCTAAACAAGTCCCTAAGCTCACCCAGAGCTGGGAGAACTTCAGCTCTGACCAGCCAGAGTAGAGAACGATGTTTAAGCACATGTAGAATTCTGTAGAGACCTCAAAAGGACCCCACCCTAGAAATAGGGCTAAATTAACCCTAGAGTAAGGGTTAATCTAAACCAGTTTTAACAAAACTTTTAAAACGAAATTGAAAAGATCGAACCAAACCAAAATTAATTTAACCTAGAACAAAATCCAGCACTGCTTAAAGACAAAAAAAATCCAACACTCAACAACATAAATTCACAATGTAGCATCCAATCAAAAATTGTTACACATTCAGAGAAGCAGAAGAATGTGACTCATAACCAGGAGGAAAATCAGTTAATAAAAACAGACCCAGAAATGACAGAGATGATCAAATTAGCAGACAAGGACTTTAAGCGGCTATTATAAATACGGTTAAAGATTTAAAGGTACACATGTCTAGGAAATTTGATGAGAATTATAAATTCACAAATCAAGAAATTCAATAATGCTAAGAAAGACAAACAAAAAGAAAACTCCATCAAGGCACATGATATTCAAATTATTAAAAACCAGTGATAAAGAAATAGTCTTAAAAACAGCCCAGAGAAAAGGAAACATTACATACTGAAGAACAAAATAAGAATTGCAGCAGATTTCTCATCAGAAGCAATATAAGCCAAAAGACAAAGAATAGTGTCTTTACAGTGCTGAAGGAAAAACAAAAACAAAAAATGACAACCAGTATTCTTTACTCAGCAAAAACATCCTTCAAAATAAAGGCAAAATAGTAACTCTTTTAGGAAAACAAAATCTATGCCCTGTGAGAGGTGCACTACAAGAAATGTTAATGGGAATTCTTAGGCTAAAGAAAAGTAATACGAATGGAAACTGAGGTCTACATAAAAGAATAAGGAGAACTACAGATAGTAAATATGTAGGTAAGTATATCTTTTCTTGTTTTGTAAATTCCATTAAAGGTTATTGACTATTTGAAACAAAAAATGTTTTATGACGTTAAGTAGAAAAAATATGAGAACTGCATCCTAAAGGGTGGGGGGAATGGAAGTATACTGTTCTAAAGATCTTTCATTATATGTTAAGGTGTATATTATAATTTAAAGGTAAAATGTGATAACTTCAAGATGGGTATCATAAACCCTGACGTAACTACTAAAAATATAAAACAATTATAACCAGAAGCCAATAGTATATATAAAAGGAAATGCTGACAACTGCTCAGTTAATCCAGAGAAAGGTATGAAAAGAAGGAAAAAGAAACAAAGAACGAATGGATGATAGAAAATTATTAAGATGATATATTTAATCTCACCTGTATTAAGAACTCAGCTGCTAACCCAAAGGTCAGCAGTTCAAATCCACCAGCTCTTCCCTGGAAACCTTATGGGGCAGTTCTACTCTGTCCTACAGGGTTGCTATAAGTTGGAATTGATTTGATGGCAACAAGATATTGATAGTTACACTAATTATTAATGGTCTACGCACTCCAATTAAAAGTCAGAGACTGTCAAACTGAACAAAAAAAAAAGCAAAACTCTACAAGTTGTCTACAAGAAATGCACTTGAAATATTAAGACATAGATAGGTTAAAAGAATATTTGAAAAATAAATAACATAGGAAAACTGAAGTGGCTACATTAATATCAGACAGAGTAGACTTGAAGACAAGGAAGATTAGCAAGGATAGAGAAGGGCATTTTATAATGATAAAAAGTTCAATTCACCAATAAGACATA